TATTAATTATCTCAATGTGTTATATAGTTGATGATCTTAAGACCTCCGTCATTGTGTAGTTAGAAGAGACGAAAAGTGATGCAACATCACTACCGGCACATTTGTTGTGGAAGGAAGCCCGTGTGGGCAAGGATCAAGCTGTTAATCCCGATATTCAACATGTGTATGATGAATGTGTAAGTATAAGATTGTGTCTTTAGTTAAATCAATTAATGTTTATTAATATTTAAGTAATTTTTTATCTCCACTAATAATTTTTATATGTAATTGAATTACAGGAGACCTTGTCCCAATCGGTATCCCCAGGTGAGGATCCTCACGATACCAGGAGCGTACTTAGTCGAGCACTAAATATTGCTGAGTATCCGGGTCGGGTGAGGGGTAAAGGTCATGGTGTGACTCCAACCTCTTTGTATAAGCATCCAAGGAGAAGAAATCCTAGCAATGCAGAAGTGATGCAAACATTGCAGGATTTACAAGCTCAAGTTCGTGAATTGCAGAAGGATAAAGAGAGATATATGGCGGAAAAGAGCAGTTCACACTTGAAAGAAACTAGTGACAAAGCTAGTATCAACTTTCAGCATAAATTTCCCGAGGTAATTTTCAATATATATCCGTTATTACTATAGAATATTTTTAGTCACTTCTAACGGTTATTATTGGTTTAGGGCATTTCATCTTGCCAGCTATACCTATCGTCACCGACTTATCGACTAGTTGGCAAGGGAAAAGTCCATAACAGTTCGGGAGATTTACTTCATAATATACCGCTTCCGGATGGTCACATGAAAGTATCAGTTGACATTGCTTTAGATATGGATGCATTGCTGCCGGTACCTGACATTGTTGCTGAGACCACATTGCTGCGAGATGCAATTGGATCTTTTGTTGCATGGCCATCCGACCTCATTTTCATAGATGATCAGGTATGTTGAAAACAATTATGAATCTTTAAGTCTTCAACTGTCAGTTCTGACCTCAGTTATTTCCACGGTAATTATAGACTCCTACAACACCCGCATCTAAGGGTAAAGGGATTTTGCGGCACGACGAGTCTGACGTATCACCAAAAGAGGTACGTTTAAAGTGTTAATTATATGATCCGAATAAAAAACTGCATAATTTTATAATGTAACCGAGTTTATATGATTTTTAGGTACCTTTTCATGGGTCACAACAAGTGAGCCAGAAAATCGTTGGCGTACCACCCAAGAAAAGGGTACCTACTAGATTTTTCCCTCGATACCGGCAGTGTCTTGAAACAATAGTGGAAACAACAAATTTGATGGATGGTGGTATTCGTCAAATTGATATGGATCAAGGTATTTTTGGTTTTCCTTGCACAGAAATAATTGGACATGAGGACGTGGAACAAATTTTCCGTCATAAAGAATTGGGCGTCAGTATTATGCACGCATACATCCGGTAACCCCATCTTTATATTATGTAATTAGCTGAAATCTTTTTTAAACATTTTCAATGAATATACTCTAATATTAATTATGTTTCTATTTAAGGCTGTTATATGACAAATTGATGCGCGGGAATCAATTGTCAAACAGATTCCATTTTGTGTCTTCCTCCCGTGTCAGCGGAGCGACAATTGGTAGGGAACCGGATTCAGTAAGAGAGCACTTAGTTGAAAGATTCATGGCAACTGGCAGTACAGAAAGCTTATATCTTTGGGCGTATAATACTATTCCTACAGGGTTAGATTTTCATTCTAAATTCATTTTAATATTTGTAATTTTTGCGTAGAAAAATTTCTTCTAAACTGTTATTTTAATTTATAGACGTCACTGGTTGTTGGTTGCTATCGATCCTATAAAAGAAGTGGTCTATTATCTGAATTCGGTTGACGGTGATTGGACAAATTATCCGGATATGAAGTTAATGATTGATACGTAAGTGAGATTATTCTAAATATTTATGTGTATTTATGTATTTAATTATTTCTGTGACATTGTTCTAAATATATATTTTTAATTTTGTTAGAGCGATACAAGTATTCCGGTGTCAAAGAGAAGCTCGGGTACGACGGTCTAAATCAAACAACATTAATTGGATCAAAGTGCAGGTATATTAATTTCCACTATTTTGCTTATAATATTTACGCTATTTGATAAAACAATACAACTATATATTCTTATTTGTTTTTTTATGTAGTGTCCTCAACAGCAAAACGGTATAGATTGCGGATACTTCGTTATGCGGTTTATCAAAGAAATCATTCAACTGAATCAAATAGAGATTCCAGTCACAGTATGAATTTATAACTTAGGATTTGTTTTATTATTTCTCGGATATTCCATATAATTTTTTACTTTTAACTAAATCATGCATATTATGTTTTCTTATGTAGTACTTCGATGAGTACAAATGTGCATATTACACGAAACTTCAGTTGGAAGAAACCAAAGAGGAGTTGTGTCAATATTTTATTGAGCAGAGAATAATATAAGGACTGGTTTAGTTGTTGTTAGAGTTGATTTTGTAAGACTGACTTTGAGTTAGAATACAGATAACAATGGTTTATATATAATTTGAGATACAAACATAAATTATGATTGATTTTGAGCAATGATAGTTTCTTGTTTATGGTTTCTTGTGTTATACTTGTGTACTAAAGTAGTTGATAGAATAAAATGAATTTAGTGAAAAGTATTGAGTATTGGTTTTGTTATATTGAGTATTGATTTTGACTCAGAAACCGTAAACCATGGATAAGACATGGTTGTATTCCAATCGATTGTCGAAAGAGTACGAGAACGGGGTATCGGAATTACAATGCATTACCGCTATTTATGAATTACAAGTTATGGCAAACAATGCAGGTATATGAATGATATAAATAATACCTCTAAAAAAAAACACCCTATGAAAGCGCTTTTTGGAGAAAAGCGCTTTCATAGGTAGACCTATGACAGCGCTTTTTCACAAAAAGCGCTTTCATAGGTAGACCTATGACAGCGCTTTTCCAAGAAAAAACGCTGCTAAAAGACAACCTATGAAAGCTTTTTTCTAAAAAAAGCGCCACCAATGAAAGCGCTTTTTCATAAAAAAGCGCTGCCAAAAGCCTACTTAAGAGAGCGCTTTTTCATAAAAAAGCGCTGCCAAAAGCCTACTTAAGAAAGCGCTTTTTAGAAAAAGCGCTGCCATAAGGGTACTAAAGAGAGTGTTTTTTAGAAAAAGCGCTGTCATAAGTAGACCTATGAGAGCGCTTTTCATTAAACAAAAAGCGCTGCTAAAACCTTTAGCAGCGCCACCTTAGAAAGCGCTTTTAAAGACCAAAAAAAGCGCTTTCGTAGGTCTTTTTTGAAGTAGTGACTCCAACCATTTTCCATATTTAACCTCTCTTCACAATGTAAACGAAGTTCTATCTCTTATTCATACATTATTCAAATTAACCAGACACATAGTAAAGTTTAAGTCTTCTCATATTTTCAATAGTCACACTTTAATATTTTGTTGTATTTTTCTTTTAAAAAATTAAATAGAAAATAAGAACCTTATTAGGCCAACAAACTATAAACATACTACGGTCTACAATGCATTGTATTGTATAACACGCTATAAAAATAGACTATAGCTCCAACACTCTCCTAGGAGAGTTTTAAAATTCCAATTGAAGGAAAGATATTAGTTAGGAGCAAAAATATCTAACCAAAATAGTAACATTAATTTTTGTTATCCTTTTGAATGTGTATGCATTAAGATACACAACAACTTCATAAGTAGAGAAAGAGAGAGGTAGGTAGGAGCAAGGAAAATACGTGTGCAATAAAAGTTGGAACCTCCATCATAATCGTCATATTCTAGTAGTTTTATAACATTATTAGGAACCGTCACAAGACTAGTATCATATATATATTTATTTTTTTTGTAGATAAGAATAAGATTGAATACTATACATATACACGGTTTATACAAACTTTAATCAACTCGATAGACGAAATATTTTATAGTCAAATTCACACAGCTATATTCCAACATAAAAATTAAATAGCATTTTGGACCAAACTATATGTGACGTTTGTGACTTTCCTATGTATGAAAAACCATGAATGTCTTTTAATAATACTAATTGATTTCTCCTTTGAAAACTCTACGTGTAAGGACACAATTGGATGGTGATTGATTCATCAATCATCAATCATCATTTCATCATGCATCACACCTCAATCATATATCTGCAGAAAAAAAAGAAAAAGAAAAATCAAATTTGAAAAGCCACTCTAATTCCACGAAACTTCTACTAGTACTACAAATCAATTATTTCATTTTTTGTTGCATAAACACAAAAACAAGACACAATTGCAAAGGTTCATCCATAAACTACCAAACCAATTTGTTCACAGTGAACACAAACAAAACCAAACAACCTTGAATCTTGAGTCATCACTACTATCACCTCCGAATTCTAAACTGTGCATTAATAGCTTCTCCGGTGAGTTTTGAAAGTGAAAGTTGTGGCAGTTGGGGGCATAACATAACACTACAACACTCTGTCCCTCATTAATGCACTACCTCAATTCGACCAATTCTCTTCATACCCATTTAATGTTTTGTCACAAAAATTTACCTTCAATTCCAAAATAACACTCTTTTTTCTAGTTACAAACACAACCACATTCTATCCATTTCATCCTTAAACCTTAACGGTTGTGTTTCATCAAGACTACTACTATTACTCATATAAACAAAAAAACAACAAAACAAAAACAACAGAAACATAAGACATTCCTTTACTTTACAACGTTAACGGTTCCTTCTTATAGATTGAGTCAAGAAGAGTTCACAAGAGACAAACAGAGAAACACCAAATGAAGTGAAGAGAAGTTTTACAATTTGTCATAGTTTAAGGTATTGTTTTTTCATCAACAAGTAAAAAAGAATCATTTTTTTCTTCTGGGTTATATGTTAAATTTGTTATACTGTTACATGCAGATGAAACTGAGATTGCGAAGAGAAAAGTGAAGTAAAGTTTGTGAGAGTTGGAAATGAAAATGAAGAGTGGAATAACAGTAAGTGTTGTTATGCTGATGTTTTTGTTAGTTGAGTTAACAATGAGTTTGAGTTCAAGAACTGAAAAGTTTGCGTTATTGGAGCTTCGGTCATCGTTGGGTATAAGGGCGAAAAATTGGCCTATTAAAAGTGAACCGTGTCAGAACTGGACGGGTGTTGAATGCAATAACAGTCGAGTTGTTGGTATCAACGTGTCCGGATTGAAGAGAACTCACAAGGGTCGTCTTATGCCGAATTTTGAAGTGGATTCTCTTGCAAATTTCACACTATTGGAGTCTTTCAATGCTTCTGGTTTCATGCTTAATGGGTCTATACCAGATTGGTTTGGTGAGAGACTCGGTGCACTGAAAAAGCTTGATTTACGGTCTTGTTCAATATCTGGTGTGATTCCTGATTCACTTGGTGGTCTGAGTAGTTTGAATGTTTTGTTTCTTTCAGGGAATAATCTTACTAGTAGAGTCCCTTCAAGTTTGGGGTTCTTATCTAGTCTTTCTATTCTTGATCTCTCTGGGAATTTGTTTTCAGGATCAATACCTGAATCATTCTCTAATCTTGGTAACCTTACAAACCTTGATCTTTCTAATAATTACTTATCTGGGTCTATTCCACCTGAACTCGGTGTCCTTTCAAATCTTCAAATTTTGAATCTTTCTGATAACGCCTTCACTGCTTCGGTTCCTTCTCAGTTAGGCAACCTTTCAAAGTTGGTTGAGCTTGATCTTAGTATGAATTCAATTGATGGTGATCTTCCTGATGCTATATGGTCATTGCCTAGATTGCAGTTATTTGATGTGTCAGGCAACAGTCTCTCTGGTCCACTGCCAAAATTGTCTGGTTTAAATGTTAGCTCAAACAGTGGCGTATTCAATTTATCAAACAATCTGTTTTATGGACCTGTGAATGGTTTGAAGAACAGGATTAAAATGATTGATTTGTCCGGTAATTATTTGGAAGGTGATGTGGAAAATGGTCTTAGTAATGTAACTCTAGCTAGAAATTGCCTACAGATGATTTCAAACCAGAGGAATTTGAAAGAGTGTAGAATGTTTTATGCCCAGAATAATGTAACATTTGATTATGGTAACCATGTGACAGAAAAAAAGAAACGAGTAATATTCATACTGGCAGGTATATTTGGTGGATTGGGATTCATTGTGCTACTGGTATTGGTCGTCATACTGGTTCTAAAACAATGTCATAAAAGTAAAGATATGGAAATTGAAAGAGGGATCACAAATGGGGGGGCTGTTAAAGAAGAGGAAAGTCCTACACCTAAGGATCCTGTTTTCGTAACAGCTGTCGGAGAATCATTTACTTTCGAACAAATACTCCATTTTACTGGAAATTTCGACGAAGCAAACTTGATAAAACATGGTCATTCTGGAGTTTTGTTCTTTGGAGTTTTGGACAGTGGAGTAACTGTGGTTGTCAAAAGGGTGGATTTAAGTTTATTTAAAAGAGAATCTTACATTGCAGAGTTGGGATTGTTAAGCAAGATTTCGCATGCAAGATTGGTCCCAATTCTAGGACAGTGCATGGATAATGAGAAGGATAAATGTATAGTTTACAAGTATATGATAAATGAAGATTTGGCTACTTCCTTACATAGAGTCAGTGGTTCGGATGGGAAGTTGCAATCCCTTGATTGGATCACAAGATTGAAAATCGCAACAGGAGCTGCTGAAGGCCTAGCTTACTTACATGATTGCAGCCCTCCTCTTGTTCACAGGTAATCTCATCATGATCACAAATATGGGTGGGACTAGGTTAGACCGAGTTAGGTTTTGTTAAGCCTAAGTCTGATCTGTTAAAAAATTCAAAGTTTAAGTCTGGCTTGTAGCCTGTCGTAGGCTTATTTTTTAAGCCTGAGCCTAGTCTTTTAGAAAGCCTGGTTGACCTATTAATCTACTTAATAGTTTATTTCATTTGAACATATGTAAATAAACAAATTACTGATATTTTATATATTTGTTATTTTTGCAGAGATATCCGAGCCAGTAGTATACTTCTCGATGATAAATTTGAAGTGCGGCTTGGAAGTTTAAGTGAGGTTACTGCCCAAGAAGATTTTCATCAGAATGTAGTGTCAAGAGTTTTCAGCAAACCACTGTAAGTTTTGAATCAATTTACAATAACAATGTAATAAAGTTCAACTGTTTCATAACATATATTCATTAGAAGGTTGTAACCTTTTTTTTCCTTGTGATTTTGCAGATCTTCTAATCAGGGAAATTCTGGTAAGTAAAATGTTTAGGCAATTTCTTGTTAGTTTTTATCCTATTGATGATTCATGCATCCATTCGTTAAATGTCTGAAATTCAAGATGCAATAGTACACCAAAAGTTTTCTCCCTAGAACTAGAAGAAACGTTAGTGATCTGCTACATGTGATAGCACTGAGACAGAACAGAGACATTTATCAGTGTTTGATTTTATATTTTGTTGTAATGAACAGGTAAATCATCTGTGACATGTGCTTATGATGTCTACTGTTTTGGGAAGATTTTACTCGAGCTAGTTACCGGTAATGTCGACATCAGCGAATCAGATGATGCAATGACAAAGGATTGGATAGAGCAAACCTTGAATTACATCACCATATTCGATAAAGAACGATTGGCTAAGATCGTTGACCCGTCTTTGATAGTGGATGAGGACCTATTGGAAGAGGTATGGGCAATGGCAATCGTGGCCAAGTCGTGCCTTAATCCTAAGCCTTCGAAACGACCTCCAATGAAACATGTTCTCAAAGCACTTGAAAATCCATTGAAGATTGTGAGAGAAGAAAGTTTTAGCTCAGCGAAATTGAGAACAACTTCATCGAATAGATCGTGGAGCACTGCGTTGTTTGGTAGCTGGAGACACAGCTCATCAGACAGTGGTGCAACTGCTACCAATAGGGAGGGTTCTAGTGGCATTAAACAAACAGGAAGAGTAAGTTCTCATGGTAGCGGTGGCATCGATCACTCATCTTCGAATAAAAGATCATCCAATGAAATATTCCCAGAACCGTTGGGAATGCAAGACTTAGAGAATGGAGAGTTAAGATGAAACAAGTAGGAAATGGACTTGGTTATTCTTTTATTGGTGAAGTTCTACCTTTTTTTGGGTAATAACTCGTGCCATAGCAAGTGCTTCTTGTGGTCCATCACCACCATGTTGAAGCAGTTAAAAACCAGGCTGTTACAGTTAAGGATTGCTTTGCAGCACACCTTGAGATTCTGGTACCTAAAGTGCTTCGGTAAAATTGAATAGTTTTACTCATCCACCCTATTTGTTATTGTAAAAAATAATAGGACAGTTTTCATTTTGTGATGAATCAGAAAGTGGTGAAAAACATTGTATTTCAAATAGAATTTTATTTAGAGGTGGTGTGTGTGGTAAGCGATTGAAGTGAAAACACAAATCATTACTTGTTTTCACAAAACATTAGTTAACTTTGTTCTGCCTGCTTAGTATTGGTTAGTTAGTCACGTACCACTACAGTTTCTCGATCAATTTCAGTTTTTTATGTTTCATTATTCTTCTTAAGCCACCTAACTCATCCTGCGTCGCTACGAATTATTTCATATTCTTAAGCCACCTGCTATGCAAGTCTCTAGGGGTGTAGGCATTAAGTTGGATCAAGGTGTTGCCTATCAAACATTGACATAGAAAACATGGTCTTGATATGTCGCCACCAATAATTACGTTTACATATAATCAATGTTTCAATATTTTGTTAATGTTTAAAACATTGATATAAAATGTTTCAATATCTATAACAGAACTTCTTAATTTTCAAGAAATTATGTTATTTTTTCATATAAAAAAATGTTAAACTGTTTTCTGAACAATTTTATGTATTCGATAGGATGGACTGCTTAACTAACAACTTTTCATCACTACCTGTTTGTCATTAAAAATGTAGTTCGTCCAGAATCTCTAAGCATTTTGAGCATGAGAACTATTGAGGTGTCTTCATTGATATACCTAACATTTCAAATTTATAAACAAAAACAAATGCAGTTCATTTATGATTTACATCATCTATGATTGCTCAACATATGAACACTCACGATATACCAACAGTTATTCAAATATGTTCATAAACAAAGACACTCAACTCTTCTTGGAAGGTAATATAGGTTGTAAATAAGTTATTTTTAATATTATTTTAGTATTTTATATTCGGGTTTTTGGTCCATTAGTTAGGCCCATTAAATTATAATAGTTATATATAAAGAAATTAGTGCTGGTAAGTTTAAGATACTTGAAATATATTATTCAATTCTAAATATGGTATCAGAGTTCTCGTTCGAGAAGGTTTCGTTTCCGCATAAATAAAACCCTAACTGTCTTAATTACGGTTCTTTTTTCAAAACTCTAGCCACCTTATTTGTGGTTCTTTTTCAAAACCCTAGCCGCCTTATTTGCGGGTCTTTTTCAAAACCTATCCGCCTTAACTGTAGTTTTTTGGGTCAAGTGTTTACGCGTGAATTTGGTAAACAACCGCTAGTCCTCCAAACTAAATACTTTGGTAACTGGAAGGATCGACTAGATTGATCCTAAGAGACGTGTCTAAGTTTATAAGATTAAACTTGTAAGGAGATTCATGTTTTACATTATTTTGTTGATAACAATATAAAGATTAGAATTATAATTTAAAGATAGTTCGGATAAAAGGGTTTCGAATGAGTAATGTAAAGGTTTCGACTGGAAACGTAAAGAAACGTAAATGAAATGCAGAATAAGTGTAAATGACTTGAAAAAGTAAAAGTTTTGACTAAAAAGTAAAGGAAATACTGAAAATGTTAAAAGACTTGATATTGATAAAGAAATGATTCGAAAAGAACAATAATGGTGTCTATACGTACATTTTCTGCAACTCTTTTCTCTAACACTTGGTACTTCAAGTATATTGAGTAATTTGTACAAAATGAACACCTCCCGAATCCTAACATTAAGATCCATATTTATACTAATTTGACCCTGACGGCCTTTCTATAATAGAGTGCCACGTTCGAAGATTGCATGTCCTTCGAACCCATCAGACTTCCACGCGTCTTCTATGACTCAAACATTTGATTTCAAAGTCAAATTCCTCTCTTCTGTTGGAATCAAGTTTTCGACGTATATATCCAAAAACTTTCGATTTCAAAATATACTTAACGAATATTTATTATATTCGTTTTGTTTGTCCATCGAACCATTTCAAACGCTTGGGCTTTTACTTAATTCAATCCAAACGAAGCTCAAAGACCAAAAACAATATTAATACGTTCAAACAACCATTGTAATCGAAATTCCAAGCCAACAAATTGCCCCTCAAAAATGTGTATTTCGTTATGTAGAGAAATAGTCATTTTTGAATAATAATCTTGAATTTCGATAAACCATATACTCATGATAACCTTTTACTGTTGTGACATCATAAAAAGTAATCACCTTTTTCCAAACGTCTATTCAGACGTGCACGTAGCAGTTCATCATTACCACTTATGAAAACAGTTCCCAAGAGAAAATCTTAACCTCTTCCTCTTCTTATAACAGAAGCACACGTGTCCCACTAACTTGTTATAGTATAAATTTCTCAACCACTATAAGTCTTTTATAAACACTTCATCTTCTTCTTCTTCACACTTCTGTTTCTGCATCTATCGAAGGATATTTAAGATAATTTATGATTGGGCTACGCCAATCTGTATCTATTAGAGAATTAATAGCTAATACTTTGAATTCTTCTTCGTTAGCGTATCCTAATTTCGAACTCTCCAAATCAGATGGAGATAACCTAGCAGCCATTGCCTTTCCTCTTACTTCGATAAGATCTTCTAAAAATTTTGTTGATACTTTATATCCTGAAGCTATCTGTGCCAAGTCATTGGCTTCCTGATTTTTAACCCTGGGAATGTGTTTAATACCCACGTACTCGAATATTTTGAGCAATCTATTGGCAATGACAAAGTATATGATCAAATTTTCTTTTACATTTTTATTTCTTTGTTATTTGATTGATCACTAATTCAGAGTCTCCTTTGATTTCAACTCTTGTTGCCCCCAATTCCAACAAGGCTTCGAGTCCAACAATTAACGCTTCATATTCTGCCTCATTGTTCGAACAAAGAGGGCCTCCGATCTTATACTTGATTCTTGTTGGAATTCCTTCAGAAGAAATGATCAAGATTCCAACTCCACTACCTTCTTTATGGGTAGAACCATAGAAAAATAGTTTCCAAGGTTTCAACTCAACACATCATTGAGGTTTTTCGACCACTGCATGGTCCATAATAAAATCTGAGACCACTTGACCCTTCATTGCTTTTAAAGGCAAGAAAGCCAAGGAATACTCAGTAAGGGCTAAAGCACATTTGCCAATTCGACTGTGTAGGGTTGGCTTTGATAGCATGTGTTTAATAACATCAAACTGTGATGAAACATAAACATCAATAGGTTTTATATAATATTTTAATTTGGTACAAGAGAAATATAAACAAAGGCATAATTTTTCTATTGCATTGTATCTATTCTCAACATCATTTAACACCCTACTTAAGTAATAAATGGCTCTTTCGACGCCATTATCATCTTATTGGGATAACATGCTTCCTATATTTAGTTCTGAAGCTGATATATATAGCCATATGGGCTTCTTTCCACAAGGAGGTGTGAGGATAGGAGGATGCATCAAATATTGCTTGATATTATCAAACACCCATTGATGTTCTTCTTTCCATTCAAAGTTTCCTTGTTTGAGGCGTAAGAGAGGGGATAAGGCTTGAGTTCGACCATTCAGATTAGAAATAAATATTCTTGAGAAGTTTATTTTTCCTAGAAGTGATTGCAACTCCTTTTTCGATGATGGCGCTTTCGCTTCCATAATTGCCTTCGTTTTATTCTGGTTTATCTCTATCCATTTCTTGTGGACTATAAATTCCAGGAAATCACTTGCCTGCACAAAGAAAGCACACTTGAGGGGATTCATCTTCAAACCATGTTTCCTCATTCTTTCGAATGACTGTCGAAGATGATCCAAATGGAACTCATGGGACATAGATTTGATGATAATGTCATCAATATAAACCCGCATAAAGGTCTATATGAAATCATGAAAGATGGAATTCATTTCCCTTTGGTAAGTTTCCCCAGCATTTTTAGTCCAAAAGGCATCACTATCCATTCATAGGTGCCTAATGCCCCATGGCATCAAAAAGTTGTTTTGGACACATCTTCATTGGCAATGAAAACTTAGTTATATCCCGAATAGCCATCAAGCATACTCAAGTATTCGAAACCTGCTGCAAAATCAATTAACATCTCTGCTATAGGCATTGGATATTCATCCTTGAGTGTTGCAACATTTAAATCACGAAAAACTATGCAAACCCTAAGGGATCCATTCTTTTTAATAATAGGAACAATATTTGCAATCCATTCTACATACCTGGTTGCTCTGATGAAGTTGCATCGAAGGAGTCTTTTGACTTCCTCCTTTATTTTTGATAGTATCTCTGGTGCGAACCTTATGGGAATCTGCTTGATGGACTTCTTTCCATCCTTTATTGGCAGCTTCAGTTTGACCAAATCTCTTCTTAAACCAGGAATTTCATCATAGTCCCAAGCAAAACAATCTTTATATTCTTTCAACATCTGGGTTGCTTTGTTCTTTACCTCCAGATCAAGCTTTACGCTGATATAAATGGTCTTTTTTTAGTTCCTTCTCCTAAATTAACTTCTTCAATGGGATCTTGTGCCAACATTTTTGCGCTTGGGGCCACTGGATCCCTTTCAAATCCCAAAGGTCCATCATCATAGATAGCTGTCATATCCTAATTTTTTACCTAAGATTCCATATTCATTTTCATTTTTTTGTTATATACATCAAGATCACAAAATATGGTCAGTTTCAAACGTTTCACCTTTGAGCATTGCCTGTGCAGAGATTATCGAGTGTTGTGAGCATTTTATCGTATGCATGACTAACTTCTAATCAAGAACGAAGTGTGTTTTTTTTGTCTCTTTGATTTCATGTGTAGAAAAAGGTTCGAATCAAGAGCATCTGGCATCACACC